TTGGGAAAGGCACTTTACACAGATGTTCCTATTTGGTTCGGTCCTAAAGAAGAAAGGTGGTAAATTCTGAGGATCTTAAATAACCTTACAGTGTTGCAACAGGCGTTAAACGAAAACAATTTCGCACAATTTTCGTCATATAAAATTAAAATTCTGGTAATAATTATTGACCTAATCAATGCAAATCAAAGAGAGCAAACTCACCCTGTCTGAAAAAGCCAACACAAGGGAAAAACCCTCCGCGTGGTTGTCGCATTCGCTTCTTGTACACCAGCTCCCCATTCCTTGTGAAGTAAACCAAGACCAGGATGGGTTCCCTGAAAAGATCATGCAACCAAAATAAACAATACGTTACGACGAGTAAATTTTTAACTTAATTCTTATAGTTCTAAACCTTCTTTTGGTAGTTTTTAATCCTTAAATTCGGAGGTACCGACTCTTATTATGTAACAGTACAGTATAAAAGAGGTGTATAATGACCATTATTTTTTATATGATTCACCCTTTACCGCTCTGGGAATACATTATTCTCTACAATTCGTAGATCATATAACTTAGAATTACCTTTAATAACGAGACCATACCTGCAGTGCACAGCGACTTTAATCTAAGTAAACGTTACAGCTTGAACTGCGGGCCAAAAAAGTGTAAAGGACAAATATGATAAGAATAACAAGTTGTGCACAACCTGAAACTGCTGTCGTCGATGGAAGGGAACACGACGCCACAGCCCATAATATCCCCTTCTCCACACGCCTTGTCCTTGCATGATTGCTCTAGATGGATGGACGGATAAAAGGATGGATGGATGGATGGATGGATGGATGGATGGATGGATGGATGGATGGATGGATGGATGGATGGATGGATGGATGGATGGATGGATGTTGTGTTTGCTGTTAGAACATAAATATGTTTTTTGTTTGCAGGAATGGCAGAAAGTTCAAAGTCTCTTGGGGAAAACGGGCAAAGAATCTGTGATGAGAAAAATCTCCAACTTTGACGCTCAGACCGTGATGCTAAAGCAAGCTCAGATCGCGAAGAAAGTGCTACAACCTTACACAAGAGAACAGATCAGGGATGTCAGTGCTGGGGCAGCTACCTTTTATATTTGGGTGAGTTGTCTGACATGGAATAATATCAAGAAGGCAGCCCAGGATAGGGAAAGGTAGAAAGTGTTATTACGTGGCCTATGTCCTGATGCTGGGTGTGAAAGGCAATGTTTGTGATAAGTTGTCTGGGGTATTTATTGTAACTGTTGCCTGTTACTAGTTTGTTAGCACTGTTCATTTCTTTGTGCCGGTTATTTTTAAGAGGATAATATCTACAGGAGGAAGGGAGATGGTTAAGGAGAAGAAGAGAAGAAGGAAGGTGTAAAGGAAGAGGATTGGGATGCAAAGGAGAAGAGTAATGTTTTGTTATTTATTGATTCATTTATTTTGGGTCCTCCTTTTTATTTGTTTGTTTGTTTGTTTCTTTCTTTCTTTCTTTCTTTCTTTCTTTCTTTCTTTCTTTCTTTCTTTCGTTTGTCTGTTTGCTTGTTTGTTTGTTTGTTTTGTCTGTCTGTCTGTCTGTTTGTTTGTTTGTTTGCTCTTACTTGCCTGGTATTCATTTTTCTTTTTTGCACCATACTACATTCTCTTTATTAACCCGTCTGTTTAATTTTAAGATTTTTTTTCGTTTACTTTTCTATTACTCCTGTTGGAATCAATTCAGTATGCTCATTCGATTGCTTTCTTCTTGTCCACTACGCAGGCTATTGGAATGATTGAAGAGGTAGAGTCGTATGGAGGAGCGGAGCGTTCGGACCAGATGCGACTCAAGAAGTGATGACGTTAACGCCAACATTTTTTTTAAACCTACGTCTTTGTGATATCATCGTGCCTCTTACAATTCGAACAATGTATGCTTGCCCTATCATTGATAGTATTATGCCATCTCTCCCAATGATTGTCCTTTTATATTTTATCTTTAGTCGGGATTTGTTGTTGCTTTTTGATTTGTATTGTTCGAGTTTTTAAATGTTTTTTTAAATTTTTATTTAGGTTGTCGTTTCTTTTTTTTGTATTTGGAGGGTCGGGGGCGGGGGGTAGATTGAATAAAGAAGACACACTTAACATAATATTTGAAATTTCAAGACTAGATTATCTGTTTTAATCATTAAAACGAGTGGACGATTATGTAGAAAAGTATTTTATAATATGTTTTAAAGAATAAAATAACTTAACGATAATTTATAGGAAGGGACGTAGATCCTGAAATTACTTTTATTTATCTCGGTACCTTCTGGGTAGGATTTCTAAGTTGTTGTTTTTTTGTGTTTTTTGTTTTTGTTTTTGGGAGGGGGGTTACACGTGGAGGGAGGGTGGAGATTATGATGAGGTAATGGCAATGGTTTCTACTTGTACAGAATGCATTATTGTTGTGAATATTATACATTGCTTTAAAACTTGCCATTGGACAGTTTCTTCATCTACTTTGTGTGGGTGAATGTAGCGTCAGCCTAAGGTCCTTCATTTCGAAGACTTGTAATAATAATCTTTATTACCTGTGTTTAACCGCAATAAGGAGTCAAAGGTCGTCGAGGAAGTGATTTTTATTTACATACTTTATGTTGGATTTTCTTTTTATCCTTTTTTTTTGGGGGGGGGGGGCTGTTCACCTGTAGTGTAGGGTTTTCTATTTTCAAATGAGGTTGTGCGCTGCTTTTGAAAATGCCCTTAATCATTTTAAATACAGATTGTATTTTCTTCAGCATTAGATAAGGATGTCTGCCTTAACCTGTCAACGACTTAGGTACATGATCTTCTGCTTATGTGTCCAACACCTCACATCGAAGAGAATGGGTCTCTTAAGAAAAGAAAGACCTTAGGTTCAGTCTATATTCAAAGGTTCAATGTACATAATTATATTATTCTAATAGGATCTATATCTCTCAGAGATGAACTGCGTATAAGAAGGCTTGTAGAACGTATTGTCTGTATGACTATCAACTGGATGATTGACTGGTCGATTGGTTGATGGGTGGATGGATGGACGGATCGATAGATTGATAGATTGATTGATTGATTGATTGATTGATTAATTGATTGATGTTTGTAGCTGTAATAGTTATTGCTACTAATAATGTTTTTAGCTGGTTGGATGATTTTGAGATTGTGCTAATTTTTCTCTATGGCACAATTACTTTGTTTGATATTCTGACGCCCTTTGGGTGACAGCACTAACTGGGTGACAGCACTAACTGGGTGACCATTTTAAAAATTGTTGTTTAATAATAAAGGGAAACGTTCGTGTGTGCTTATTCTATGTGATATTTTAGTGTGACTGAAAGTCATCAATATGCGGTGACTGAAGATCGGGTGTAGCATAAACATTCCGTTAGAGTTTACTTGTTGAAATTGGAAGCTCTGGTTTGTTTGTTTGGGGTTTTTTTAGGTTACTTTTCTTACTGTTTTTTTTTACTTTGTTATTATTTTTCGTTGCTTTGTTGTTGTCGTTGTTTGTTTGGGTGTTTTGTGTGTGTTGTTTATTTTTTTGTTTGTTCTTTGAAGTTTTTTGGTTTGTTTGGGGGTTGTTGGGGGTTGTGTTGGGTTTTTTTTTTGGGGGGGGAGGGGTTGGAGGGGGGGTGTCATTTCATGAAAGAGCTGTCCAATTGAGAAATATAATTCATAAACCAGTATGTCATGAAGCGTTATGGTTGTGGGTATTTTTTTATTTAATATGTTACACCTCCTACAAGGTAAACTAATTAAGAGGCTGGGTCTTACTTCATCATCCATCCCAATGACACAAAACTGGTTTTATTCGTATGAGCGTTAAAACTGATTGCATTGATTTCATTCCGATATTATAATTCAAACTCCGGTCACGGATCTAGATGGATAATATCTTACCCACGGCATTGCTGTAAATGAGCACAAAAGAATTATGTCATTTTAACTCTATACGCACGAGTGTATTTGACCTACGAAAGTTAAGAGCTTGTTACGGCAAGTGTTTACAACAGGATGCTTTGGTGTTGTTGTTGCTGCTGCTGTTGCTGTTGTTGTTGGGGTTTTGTTTGGTTTTTAACGGGCCTAGGGTACTCTTTGTTTGTTTGTTTGTTTGTTTGTTTGTTTGTTTGTTTGTTTTGTTGGGGTGTTTGTTGGGGGGGTTTTTGGGGGGCGGCGGGGGGTTGTTGTTCTTTTTATGTTTTTTAAACGTTTTAAATTGGAATCAAGAATCAAACCTTGTGTGACGAACACAGGATAGTCCGTTTTCAGTCTCCAAACTGAATGCAGCTGTAACGTTAAAAAAGGGACCCCAAAACCAGCCGGACAAAATTAATGATTTATACTGTATTATTATGATACCATTGTTCCTACATTTAAACCTGACAAACGAAAAGCATACTTTGTTACGTTTCGTTTCACTGTAACCTAAATCCTACCGACCAAGACCATAAAGAGTTTCAGCAATAACAAAACGTGATAAAGATGGAACTGTTTGACTTCTCGTTTATTCTTTAATTAACTTTTACACGTTTTTCGGGGAATTACTGTATGTTCTTCATAGGAACAGCAGCTGTCAGAAGAGATAGAGCGCGTTTCGCATGCGATAAGAACTTTAAGTACCAGAGAGATCAGACTTGCTGATTAGATTGATATCTTGACAAATTTTTCGTCAAAGTGTGTTGTCTTTTTTGGTGGCGGTGGAGGTGATAATTTCAGACACGAATATTATGTGTACCGTGTGTTCTGAGAATATGTTTGTTTGTTTGATATTTTTTAGGCGTTATTTTCTTCGTGACATTTGATATTAGGCCAAATGTGGAATGGATCGAATATTTGTTAGTTATTTTCATACTTTGCTTTAATATAGCTCATCTGTGATCCATAATTCCGTCCAGGACACGTACGTGTTTAGTTAAAACCAAACCTGCTCTAACGACTACCCGAACAAGACAATCACCTGTACAAACAACCACTCCCTATCCCCCCCCCCTCTTTTTGTGTTTTTCCTCTACTGTAATGACACTGTCCAAGAGGACTACTTTTCTACTATGAACACTTTTCTCTCCGACAATGAGCGGGCGTCTTGGATAGGTTCGGCGATATTTAACACCATAATGTACATATCGCTGCACCAGAATTGCAAAGTTCTATCTGCTCAGTAGAGCTACCTAGTTATAAGAAATCTTATATTTAAGATTTTGACTTCCACCACAGCATGACAAGCTTTTTCAAATGCAATTCTGTCAATATCTTGATAACGACTGCATTATTATCTTACGATTTTGATAGAACATCTGGTTTCTGGCCTCATGGACTTGGTAACTCAAACGGCCAAAAATGTCAGATAGACCTTTGTAATTCTAAGGTAGGGATGTGTCAAATGAAGCGGTCGTGATGACTGTGCCCTCTTTATTCTTTATCCCAATGAGGTCGGTCACAAACTTTGCCTTATGATAACTGAACAGCACAACTCTTACATGTATTTGAATGTATGTGCGTGCATCTGTGCTTTTGTCCGCGAATGTCTGCGTTTTATACGTGCACTTGCGTGCTTAAGTAATCATTTACGTTGTAGACGTGTGTTATGCATGTGCACGTGGGCGTGCATACCATTGTGTGTATGTGCGCGCGCGCGTGTGTGTGTGTGTGTGTGTGTGTGTGTGTGTGTGTGTGTGTGTGTTTGGTTGTATGTGTGTGTGTGTGTGTGTGTGTGTGTGTGTGTGTGGGCGCGCGCGCGCGCGCGTGTGTGCGGGTGTGTAAAGGTCAACCTGTGCACCTGCGTAATATATAATGAAAGGAAAGGGGGGGGAAATGTGCACTATTTTATGATCAGCTATTACGTAAAGAGTTCCCAAGAAGTTTTTAATTGTTTTGGATTTTTTTACATATTTATTTTTTTATTTTTTGTTATTTATTTTTTTTGGGGGGGGGGTGGGGTTGTTAAGAATTTATTTTTAAGTGAGGTGTCCAGCTAAAATTAGACTTACTCGAAATGCTGATATTCAGTTTAGATTGTATTATGTATCATCTGTTCTATGAGCCTTACATCAAAAACTGTGAAGGTTGACTTTAAAAATATCTCCCCATTTTAGTATACCTTGTGTACTTGTTAATGATAATGTTCACGACTGGGTTTATCGGTGACACTTTCTTTCATTCCCGCTATTTGTTATCAACACTGTTTTGGGGAACTCCTAGACAATGATGCGACATTGAAAGTCTCGAAGCTCGCACATTATGCATTTTGTATTACATGTATCCTTTTTTTATTTTTTTTATTTTTTTTATTTTTTTGTGGAACGACTTAAAACGTTTACGATTAACACTTATGACACCATTTTATCTGATTTGTATTGATTTTCCAGTTCCTGTAACATTTTAGAAAGCCAATGAATCTCCCTATGAGAAAATAAACATTTAAAATACTACAAATCTTTCGCGTGATGTGGTCATGGATGTCAATTTTTATTACTTAGAATGCTATTATTCCTTCATAGTCGCCTGTTAGCTGGGCACATCCTAGCCTGGTTGGTGTCAAGCTGGATTACAAAGATGGCGGCCCTATTTCGAATACCCAATTGGGATCTATCACGATCCTACAACAATCTTTATGTGCTAAAAGGCTTCTTCTCTTTTGCGTTCCCCAGCTAGATCTCAGAGGTGTGATGTGCTGACTCTTCAATCTGCAATGCAACTGGTTGTTACGTATTGTGTGACTGCTTTTCCTACTCTGTAGACCCCCTTGCCGTAACGTATAAAGGTAGAAACATTCCGATTTTGAAGGTACTCGAAACGTTTATACACCGACAAGAGTATTTGCATTTTTGGAAGGAA